CACTCACCCGTATCTAACATGCTCCCACATGCTTGCTGGACCTCCTTTACCCCATCCCTCCAATCTTTCCTGGTACGACCCCTATCACCTTCCCTCCACTACAGATTTATACATCCTCCAAGTCATCTTGGTTTGTTCCATCCTCTTTAAATGTCTGAACCACCTCAACAGCCCCTCTTCAGCTCTCTGGATAACACTTTTAGTAGCCAAAACTGTATCCCCACCTGCTTTTAACATTTCTGTCTTTATCCTATCAACCCCAGTTGCATTACTCTCTTTCATTTTTACATACTGCCATGTGCATCTCCCCCACTCTCACATTTGGCTTTTCCTCACTCCTAAAAGATGTTATACCACCCTGGCTAATGCATAAAATCACAGCCACCCTTTCCTCATCAACATTTAACAATTCCTCAAAATATTCTCACCATCTTCCCAATACCCCAGCTCTCCTCTTCTTTTTTTAATTGTTAAATCAATTCATTCCCTAGGCTACTGAGATGTTAGAAGACACTGTATTTTTTCAGTCTCAGAGGTGTCAGGAAGTGGAATGACCTTAGTGAAGAAGTGGTAGAGGCAGGCTCCATACATAATTTTAAGAGCAGGTATGATAGGGCCCACAATGCTTACATGTAAAGGGAGTAAATTTGGAGAGTGGCAAGTTATGAAGCTGGGAAGAATTTTAATTTGAGAGTTATTATTATTTTTTTATTATCACACTGGCCTATTCCCACCAAGGCAGGGTGGCCCCAAAAAAAAACTTTCACCGTCATTCACTCCATCACTGTATTGCCAGAAGGGTGCTTTACACTACAGTTTTTAAACTGCAACATTAACACCCCTCCTTCAGAGTGCAGGCACTGTACTTCCCATCTCCAGGACTCAAGTCCGGCCTGCCGGTTTCCCTGAACCCCTTCATAAATGTTACTTTGCTCACACTCCAACAGCACGTCAAGTATTAAAAACCATTTGTCTCCATTCACTCCTATCAAACACGCTCACTCATGCCTGCTGGAAGTCCAAGCCCCTTGCACACAAAACCTCCTTTACCCCCTCCCTCCAACCTTTCCTAGGCCGACCCCTACCACGCCTTCCTTCCACTACAGACTGATACACTCTTGAAGTCATTCTGTTTCGCTCCATTCTCTACATGTCCGAACCACCTCAACAACCCTTCCTCAGCCCTCTGGACAACAGTTTTGGTAATCCCGCACCTCCTCCTAACTTCCAAACTACGAATTCTCTGCATTATATTCACACCACACATTGCCCTCAGACATGACATCTCCACTGCCTCCAGCCTTCTCCTCGCTGCAACATTCATCACCCATGCTTCACACCCATATAAGAGCGTTGGTAAAACTATACTCTCATACATTCCCCTCTTTGCCTCCAAGGACAAAGTTCTTTGTCTCCACAGACTCCTAAGTGACCACTCACCCTTTTCCCCTCATCAATTCTATGATTCACCTCATCTTTCATAGACCCATCCGCTGACATGTCCACTCCCAAATATCTGAATACATTCACCTCCTCCATACTCTCTCCCTCCAATCTGATATCCAATCTTTCATCACCTAATCTTTTTGTTATCCTCATAACCTTACTCTTTCCTGTATTCACTTTTAATTTTCTTCTTTTGCATTACCAAATTCATCCACCAATCTCTGCAACTTCTCTTCAGAATCTCCCAAGAGCAAAGTGTCATCAGCAAAGAGCAACTGTGACAACTCCCACTTTATGAGTGATTCTTTATCTTTTAACTCCACACCTCTTGCCAAGACCCTCGCATTTACTTCTCTTACTACCCCATCTATAAATATATTAAACAACCACGGTGACATCACACATCCTTGTCTAAGGCCTACTTTTACTGGGAAATAATTTCCCTCTTTCCTACATACTCTAACTTGAGCCTCACTATCCTCATAAAAACTCTTCACTGCTTTCAGTAACCTACCTCCTACACCATACACCTGCAACATCTGCCACATTGCCCCCCTATCCACCCTGTCATACGCCTTTTCCAAATCCATAAATGCCACAAAGACCTCTTTAGCCTTATCTAAATACTGTTCACTTATGTGTTTCACTGTAAACACCTGGTCCACACACCCCTACCTTTCCTAAAGCCTCCTTGTTCATCTGCTATCCTATTTTCCGTCTTACTCTTAATTCTTTCAATAATAACTCTACCGTACACTTTACCAGGTATACTCAACAGACTTATCCCCCTATAATTTTTGCACTCTCTTTTGTCCCCTTTGCCTTTATACAAAGGAACTATGCATGCTCTCTGCCAATCCCTAGGTACCTTACCCTCTTCCATACATTTATTAAATAATTGCACCAACCACTCCAAAACTATATCCCCACTTGCTTTTAACATTTCTATCTTTATCCCATCAATCCCGGCTGCCTTACCCCCTTTCATTTTACCTACTGCCTCACGAACTTCCCCCACAGTCACAACTGCCTCTTCCTCACTCCTACAAGATGTTATTCCTCCTTACCCTATACACGAAATCACAGCTTCCCTATCTTCATCAACATTTAACAATTCCTCAAAATATTCCCTCCATCTTCCCAATACCTCTAACTCTCCATTTAATAACTCTCCTCTCCTATTTTTAACTGACAAATCCATTTGTTCTCTAGGCTTCCTTAACTTGTTAATCTCACTCCAAAACTTTTTCCTATTTTCAACAAAATTTGTTGATAACATCTCACCCACTCTCTCATTTGCTCTCTTTTTACATTGCTTCACCACTCTCTTAACCTCTCTCTTTTTCTCCATATACTCTTCCCTCCTTGCATCACTTCTACTTTGTAAAAACTTCTCATATGCTAACTTTTTCTCCCTTACTACTCTCTTTACATCATCATTCCACCAATCGCTCCTCTTCCCTCCCGCACCCACCTTCCTGTAACCACAAACTTCTGCTGACCACTCCAACACTATATTTTTAAACCTACCCCATACCTCTTCGACCCCATTGCCTATGCTCTCATTAGCCCATCTATCCTCCAATAGCTGTTTATATCTTACCCTAACTGCCTCCTCTTTTAGTTTATAAACATTCACCTCTCTCTTCCCTGATGCTTCTATTCTCCTTGTATCCTATCTACCTTTTACTCTCAGTGTAGCTACAACTAAAAAGTGATCTGATATATCTGTGGCCCCTTTATAAACATGTACATCCTGAAGTCTACTCAACAGTCTTTTATCTACCAATACATAATCCAACAAACTACTGTCATTTCGCCCTACATCATATCTTGTATACTTATTTATCCTCTTTTTCTTAAAATATGTATTGCCTATAACTTAACCCCTTTCTATACAAAGTTCAATCAAAGGGCTCCCATTATCATTTACACCTGGCACCCCAAACTTACCTACCACACCCTCTCTTAAAGTTTTTTACTTTAGCATTCAGATCCCCTACCACAGTTACTCTCTCACTTGGTTCAAAGGCTCCTATACATTCACTTAACATCTCCCAAAATCTCTCTCTCTCCTCTACATTCCTCTCTTCTCCAGGTGCATACACGCTTATTATGACCCACTTTTCGCATCCAACCTTTACTTTAATCCACATAATTCTTGAATTTACACTTTCATATTCTCTTTTCTCCTTCCATAACTGATCCTTCAACATTACTGCTACCCCTTCCTTTGCTCTAACTCTATCAGATACTCCAGATTTAATCCCATTTATTTCCCCCCACCGAAATTCCCCTACATCCCCCTACCCCCTACATCCACGCACATTCAAGCATCCCAGTTTTATAAAGTTTTTCTTCTTCTCTTTTTTAGTAAATGTCTACAGGAGAAGGGGTTACTAGCAGATTGCTCCCGGCATTTTAGTCGCCTCATACGACACGCATGGCTTACGGAGGAAAGATTCTTTTCCACTTCCCCATGGACAATAGAAGAAATAAAGAAGAACAAGAGTTATTTAGAAAAAGGAGAAAAACCTAGATGTATGTATATATATATGCATGTGCGTGTCTGTGAAGTGTGACCAAAGTGTAAGTAGGAGTAGCAAGATATCCCTGCTATCTAGCGTGTTTATGAGACAGAAAAAGAGACCAGCATTCCTACCATCATGCAAAACAGTTACAGGTTTCCGCTTCACAGTCATATGGCAGGACGGTAGTACTCCCCTGGGTGGTTGCTGTCTACCAACCTACTACCTACACCTATTTTCAGTATTCAAGAGTTTTGGTGCATTTTGAGGAACCTTCAGGAACCCATTTTAAATCATACAAATGCTCTAAAATTTAACTTACTTTCTTCATATTATTGTTAGGTTCTGAAGTTGTATCATGGAAATTAGACAGTTTGCCAAAGGTTGCATTTTTAAAATCATATGTTTAGAGAACAGGACTGTACATATTCCTTGTGTGGCCTTGGCTGATATAAATTCTAAAGTTTGCATGTACTGGGTGCAAGGAGGAATGCCCAAGGGGATGGAATTTTTTTTATGAGATGAGTGGTTATGAATTTTAGAAACAGATAAATGCCCTATGAATAAATAACAGTATGTTAAAATAAAAATGAAGAAGCAAACCAGAATTAACTTGAAATTATAACTGTTTCAGGAGCATTTGTTTTCACTGACTCATACAGTATTTGTACAGTTAAGACTCTTCAAAATGAACACCTTGATGCTGCTCAAGTTCACTTAGTCCAATTAATTGGTCCTACTCTCCTTCTTTGGATGAAACCTGGTTACCTTCAATTCCCTAGGGACTGTAGGACCCTCTTGGGGTTTGTGCTGTCTCATGTATGTACAGTACTGTAATAATAATAATGCTTAAGTCAAGAAAGGGAAATTAATTATACAGGGACTGTAGATTGTGAAGCCTTATCATTAAAATTGTTTCCAGGTGAAATGAGTAAGAGGTGAGAATTTTCCTCACACCTTCCTGAGATGCTGCCATTAAGATGTAATTATTAAGTTTTGGAGGATTACCAGTAAGATTGTTTCCAGATGAAATGTGTAAGCGGCGAGAATTTTACTCGGGCCACCCCGAGACACCCCCCGCAACACCAGAAGATGGAGGAAGTGATCTGGGAAGGTGGTACATACTGCCAGATGACCCAGTGTCTCTGGCCCTACACCCAGCACCATCCTCCTTGACCAACAGATGCTACAACACTCACCTGATGCCAGCTACGTCACTAAATACATGCTTTAATATTAACCCTCAAACTGTGAGGGGTGATGAGCTAACTAACCAGGTTAATAAAGTAAGTGAAATTGGATATTTTAGATATTGTGGGAAATGTTAAATGCTTTTAATGGGTTCATGTTGTTGTAGATATTGTGTGAAATGGGAAGTTCCTTGAATGGGGCTCTTGTTCAAGACATTGTGAGAAATGAGGAGTGCTTTTAATGGGGCTCTTATTTAAGACATTGTGAGTAATGAGAATGGCTTTTATGACTGCATTCATTGATATGAATATACAGTTCTTCTACTATTCAGTCTCACAAATCTCAAAAGTCATGAATAATACAAAATTTTATCCACAGAAGTTTTTCACTGCCTCAGTTTGTGTTGTATCTCTTTAATTATTTCTCTAATCTGGTTAGGAGTGGAATTCACAAGAATGACCAGAAAGATATAAGATTTGGATGTGGGTAAGCCAATCAGCACATTTTGAACTAAATCCTATGTTAGTTTTGAATTTAGGAGTCATATCCCAAGCCCCACAATATAGGGGGTGTGCACCAAGCAACAATATTGGGGGTCTTGTGCTGAGCCCCACAATTTAGGGATAACTGTGAAAATCCACAAATTATTGAATCTATTCGTAGTTTGCCCTTCAATAAAAATATTGGATAATTGAATTTTTGGAATTAGGAGCCATGTGAGCATAAAGAAAAAGTTTAATATGATTTGGAAAGGGGTGATACATACAGCCTAACATAGAGTTAAAACTAAAGTAATCTTTAGTGTCTTGATTGTACAAGATATTTTCTAGGTTCTAATATTTGGAGAGCTAGAATGTATTCTGTAGAATGTATAGTGTGCTTTTGCAATTCAGTTGGATACATTCTTTTTCTCGTGTTTTGGAATTGTACTCTTTTTAATACTAGATTGTAAATTACAGAATTCATTTGGCCATGTTCGTTACCTCCAATGCCCAGCTGGAGTCAGTGTAGCTCAGTTGAAGAGATTACTACGAGCAAAGTTTGGTGTCGGACCATCTCACCCCATGGCTCTTCTTACAAGCTCATCAGATGACCCACTACATGATACCTTAACACTCGTTGATGTGGCTTACATCACATCATGGCAGAGGGTTTGTATTTATTCTTATTTGCAGGCTTGTGTATTATGGTCATGTCCAGGTTATTATGAGAGATTTTTTAATTGACTATTGATTTGTTTCTGGCCAATATTGTGTTACAAGACCGACTTCATACATCATTATTGAGTGTTTCGAATTATTAAATTTCATACAAATGTTCGCTCAGCCTCAGTCTCAGAGGCAATATAGGAAAATCCTGAAAGTTATGTAAGTGAAGCCTTTTCTATCAGTACTCCATTATTGGCTAAATTTAGTGTTGATTTTGGTTGATAGCTGAGGATCTTCTTACTCTAGATCTATATCATAGTACTGAGAGTAATAAATTCAATTGAGGAATAACTTTTTACATAAATAATGATACTAAAATCGATAATAATAAGTAAATCTAGCACCTTACCATACAGGCTGGTGGTGATTAGTGTAATCGATTTGAGGTCCGACCTAATACTGTACACAGCAGGACTCATCAGGTTTGTGTTAAGGCTTCCTAGTTGTCAGGAGTATGGCTGTCCACACTAACATCTTTTAAGGACAGACTAAATCAGGAAGGCAGGATGAATATGTTAAGTTATATAATTTCTTGCAACATTCAGAAATGTGCAAAGGCTATGAAAAAATTAGTTTTTCATAAATATTCTGTTATGTAAATGTAAAAGTTTTACATTACAGTTAAAAATCTACCCTCAGTAAATTTTTTCCTCACTAATCTGAAGCTCTTCTTTCAGACTGAGCCGTTACAGCTGTTTTACCGAATATACGAACGTGCAAGTAAAAAAATCAAGTTAGATCCGGAGAGCTTCAGTTCTGAACCTCTCAGCTCCTCGGAAGAAATGCCAAAATTGGAGCCAAGTGTTGGTGGTGATATTACCAGTACTATGTATGGGTCCTCAGACTCAACAAGCAGCATGTCAGACTACAGTTGTGCTCCTCTTTTACAGGCTGTTGGAGCTTTAGACTCTGATTCTCCAGTAAAGAATGAATCATCTGTGGAAATGCCTGTGAGCGAATCCATAAAAATCGAAGAGAAACCTTGTGAGACACCAAAATTGAAAGAAACTGGAGAGAAAAATTTATCAACTGCAAATTCAATTGAAACATTTGTGAGTACATTTGTTGAACCTTGTACAAAGGATTCACAAGCAGTGGTAAAGCATGAGCCACATTCAGAATTGACACAGGGTAATGTTTGTGATAGTATTATGAAAACAGAGAGTGCTGTAAGTGGATCTAGTGTAGTGGACACCATTGTGACATACTCTGGAGCTTATACAACGCCAAGTAATGGTGTGAGTGTTGGGGTCGCATTCATGCCCGGAGAGCTTGGCTACATAAGCCCTGCTGGAGTTCCCTGTGCAATAATCTCAAATGCTGGGTGTGTTCCAGTGACTGGGAATTGTATTCCTAATAATACAAATATTCCTGTTTTGTGTAACACTGATGTCCATAGACACACAGAAGGTGATGGGGATGTAGGTGTTGTAAATAAATGGAATTCAACAGGACCTGTGGAAAAAGCCCATGTTAAAAGGGAAAATTCTCAAGTGCCTGCAGATGTCAGTTCCAGGAGAGAGGGGGTCAGAGTAAGCGAGGAAGATGAGGGTAAAGAAGTGCAGCTCAAAATAAGTGAGTCAGGAGTGATGAGTGTGTGCGGGCGGGACACGACTGTTGAGGGGGTGCTCAATTCCATAGAGTCAGAAGCTTGTGAACTTTTGTCAAAAATAGAAAGTGGTTCTCTATGTGAAGAATTTCTGCCTAAACCTATAGAAAAGCATGCAGAGAAAAATGCTTTTGAAGCAGGTAATTGTGCAAAAAAATCGAGGACAAAAGATAGATCAGGTGAAGTGGTACGAAGCAAGGGAGACACGAAGTCAAATAAAGATCAGCATTGTCAAAAAGGGGAAAAGCTAAAATCCTCAAATATGAGTAATATTTCCATACTGAACCAAAAATCAGAAAGTGCTAATGTGAGAGAAATGAAAGGAGTAACACCTAAAGTAAATTCTAATGACGAGCGTCATCTGGACAATACGTGCAGTGACAAAACTATGGCTGATAGTAAAGAGAAAACTATGGACAAAAATTCTGATATGAAAAAGTGGGGTGACTTACAGAATAGTAAGGAGCTGAAGGATGATAACACTAAAGACTCTCGGTTAAGTCACATCCCAGCCAGTCTTACTGCAGCAAGTATGGCTAACCTAAATAAGCCACATCTTAAAGCTGGTACATCTAAAATTTCTCAAGGGGAAGAAAATAAAAATAAAGAGCAAAAGCCTAATAATGGGTTAAATTCAAAGAAGGAAGGTAAACAAGAATTGACAGCAAAATCTTTATCTGGTAGTGGATGCAGAAAGTCTTCACAGTCTTATGGTTACAAAACTTTGAAAACTCCTCCCAAAAGTTGGAACCCTACAATATCCCGAGAACAGTTAGCTTTGGTAGCAGGTAAATCATCACTTAGCAAGGGTAACACAGAACCCCCTCGAACAAATAAGTTTTTCAAAGCGCGCAATGCTCCTCGATTTTTGGGAAATCCATCTGCAGGGGTTAAGCCTATGTATTCTCATGTGGTTGACAATAATGGATCTCAAAAGCGTGCTAGTGTTTTAAAACTTGACCCAAAAACATTGGGTCCTATATCAGTGCCAGTTAGTAATGATTTGATTTCTCCAACTTCAGTCTCGCGTTCAACTTCCTCTGCGTCTTCCGTACAGTCTACAGCACCAGCGACAACTCAGACTGCATCGTCTACTTTGCGATTAATACCTTCACAGACTGTTGACCAAAGATGTCCAAGCAATGTGCAGACGGACCCAGTAGTTGTTGAGCCTCATGCTGCTGTATCAAAAGTCAAAGACACACTTATTGCCACTACCAAAGCTGCTCCCACACTATCTACATCATTAACAAGTGGAGTTAAGGAAAGTACAAATTCTAGTTCAAAAGTCATTAGTAATGCTAACACTTCACAAGACAAAAATTATCCACATAAGAATACAAAGAGTGCAAGATCATCAAGCAACAACAGTAGTACCACCAATAGAAATTTAAAATTACCAAGTGTGCAAACAAGTGGTAGTTCCAAACTTGAAATAAAGCAAGATAATAAAACCAATGGTGGAACAGTGGGTTTGGTTGGAAACAGCATGGCAAGCCTTGTAGCCAACAGTCCACTTATGAATCAACTAAAATTGGCTGTCTCAACAGCCATGAGTACTGGTATTGCACAAGTTAAGGCTGAAACAGTTAGTTCACTCACTGCTCCTAATACTAATCTTCAGCCACAACAGCATCTTACTCTTGGTTCACCGGCAGTTGGTGTTAGTATAATTCCTTCTTGTGGGGTATCTTTTCCAGGGGCCATTGGTACTCTTCCTTTGCCTTATTACACTAATCCCTCTCTGGCCTATCCAGCATATCCTTATTTGTACCAAGGAGCAGAGACTATTGGCCTTATACCTCCACATCACTCTGCATCATTTATCCCAACATTCCCTGCATGTCTCCCACCTCGATCACCTCTTAGCCCACGAAACATCGGAGGGGCAAAGATGATGCCAGAATTGCCTTTGCAATCAAGCCTCCTTCCTATGGTGCCTCTGGTATCTCAGGTTCCTGCTCAGACTATGTCTCCACGACCAATGACTCCTCCATCTCCTAGGACTCCTACATCAACCCAGTCTCCAAGACCATATCCAGCTCAATCACCAAGGCAGTATAGCACAAATCAGTCTTCAAGACCTCTTACACCACAGTCTCCCAAATCAATACCTTCAGTACAGTCTACAAGGCCTCAAACCCAGTCTCCAAAACTACATCCAAATCTCCAGCCAACAGTCAGTCAGTCTCACCGATTAAATAATACTGGTTTGCTAGTTACACAACCCCAGTGTTTGACAGTATCTGGCCAACCAGAGAAATTTCAGTTAAGTACCCAGCAAATGCCCTCAATGGCCTCTTCATTTCTTGACTCGTCAGATATCTTAAACTCCAATTCTGTCTCTTTGCAAAATTCTTCTTACAAACAAAATGCTTGTGTACAAACATCAGTCTCTCACACCTTACTTACACCCAAAAGTGTTTGTAATTCCCCAAATTCATTAAAGCCTCCTGTGCCTCAGTCTCCAAGATCTATCATTAGCAATCAGCCTGGGGTATGTCTCATGCAAGTAGTACCCTCCACCACTTCACAGTCCAGTATATCACATACCCCCCAGTCTCCAAAACCTAACAGACCTCATACACCACAATCTCCTAAGTGTTTGAACTCTACCCAGTGTGCAACACTACAGACACATGTTAATAATGTTTCCCAAGCAAATTCACCTCAATCTAGACATCATGGGATTTCCTCCCAACAGCCAGAACTAAGAATAGCAAGTAATAACAAGACCAAAGCTAAAAATGTAGAAGCAAACAGCAGAAAGGTGGTAGATAATGCAACATCTGGTCAACTGGGTGGAATCTCAAATTCTTTCCCTAGTTCTGTTGTATCCTCCTCATTTCCAGTTTCCCAGGTCAGTTCATCTTTTTCAACAAGTGGGCTGAATACCCCCATAAATAGTGCTTCTGGGAATAAAGTTTATATTCCTCATGGAACAAACGTATCGGTTTCCTCAAGCTTCCCTACACTGTACCCAGACAGTATTGTAAATTCTCTGCCATTGCCTCTGGCTAACACTTTAGTTACTCCTGAAGTGTCAGCTGCAGCTATGTCATTCTCACTATGTAATTCTTCATCTGCCCTTCCTATTTCCTTGAGTAATGTGTCCAGTTCTCTACCAGTTGTATCTTACAACAACTCTGCTGTCTCTCTACCTACCTGCCCTGTGACACTTCCCCAAGCCTTCTATCCAGGTAGTACTGCACTCTCCATAAATTTGCCACCAAACTCACTGCAGTCTGTCTCACAGCCCTTAACTTCTACACAGACCCTCCAGTCATCTTACATCAGTGTAACTGCAGGGAACACACCCAAGAGTAATGCATCTGTTGTGTCTGTATCAACCAACAACAGTGGTGTTGGATCAGTACCATGTAGAAGTGCAGCTGTTTTGACAATGCCCACTGAGAGCACAGCATATGCACCCATTCCCTCTAGCAGTAGCAGTTGTGTTCTACCCATACCCACAAGTAGTGTTGCTGCTGTAACAGATCCTAGTTTCACCTCAGTGACTGTAACTATGCCAATGACTGTAACAGCACTAGTACCAAAGTCTCCTGCTGTTACCATTGTTAAAGGTACATCATGTAGTACATCAAGTACAACTGTACCCTTGATCTGCACAGCTTCTTCACCATTGGTTGGTATCCCATATGTACCCCTCAGCAGTACATTAAGTATGTCTGCACCTGTAAGTAATACAGTGACTACATCTGTATCGCTAAGCAGTATAACAAGTGCACCCATACCTTTAAGTGGTATAGGAAGTATATCTGGACTTGAAAGCAGTCCAACAAACACCACTGTGCCACTGAGTAGTACAGTGAGTACAGCCGCACCCCAAACTAGTGCAGTGAGTAGAACTGTCCCTCAAAGTACTACATTAAGCACAGTGGTGTCCCAGATTAGTACAGCAAGTACTACTGTATGCCAAAGTACATCAAGTACTACTGTGGCCCACAGTAATACAACATGTACTTCTGTACCCCAGATTAGTTCTGCGAGTACTACTATATGCCAGAGTAGTACTGCAAGTATAACTACTCTATCCCAAACTAGTGCAGCCAACTCTATCGTTCCCCAAAGCAGCACAGCAGGTATAGCTGTATCCCTAAGTAGTACAGCTAATACATCTGTACCTGTAAGTAGTACTGTGAGTATGACTGTACCCCAAAACAGTGCAGCAGGTATGACTGTATCCCCGACTTGTACAGTAGTTTTAACTGCACCCAGTAGAAGTACAGGTGTATCTCTAAGCAGCTCGTCCGGTAACAGTTTACCAGCATGTAAAAAAGATGTTAAAACAGTATCTGCAAACCGTAAAGCTAGTACAACTGTACCCCTAAGCAGTAATTTAGGTACTACCATAGCCCTTGGCAGTACAACAAGTACATCCACACCCGTTGTCAGTACAGCTGGTACAGCAGTCTCCTCCAGTAGTACTGTAGTTACATCCATACCTATCAGCAACACTGCTGGAATATCGATACCCCTCAGTAGTACAGTTGTCGTTGCTCGATCCCAAAGCAGTGGATGTTTTGCCCTCTGTGGTGCAGCGGGTGGGAATTCAGTGTTGAGTGCAAAGGAGAGAGGTGGCTCTGTGCCACAGTCAAGTGCCTGTACCCCCGTCTGTGATGTGACGCATGTGATTGACGCCAAACAGCAGTGTGCTGAACCTAGTGTCAGCAGCAGCAGTGGCCCCAGGCCATGCCTCAAGAGTTAATATTGTTGGATGCCACATATATATAAGCTTATATGCTATGGTGTACCTTAGCTGCCATTTATTTTGTAAATTATAAATTCACAAATATACTTTTATCACTGTGTTTCAAACACTTATTAGTCACTTTAAAAGTGTTGTTTGGGACACTTGAGTTTCTGTCTCCCCTGTATATCTTTTTTTTTTTCTTACCCAAGACACTTGGTAATAAGGTTGCAATGATAAGATCAATATGTTGAAACAGGAAAGACTCACCATTTGTAGTAGTTTCAGCATGTTCGATTTTCCTTGTTACCTACCTATAATTTTGGGAAAAAATTAAGTTTTCCTCTATTTCTCTTACATTTTTCTTTCTCTCTCTCTCTTTTTCTCATAATTGTTCTCTATTTTCTTTTTCTTTCCTCTTCTCTTTTTATGTTTTTTTTTCTTTTTTATCATTTATCTCTCTTTCTCATTTTTTTATTTTATAATTTTTCTTTCTTTTCTCTCTCAATTTTTTCTGTATTTTTCCCTTTAGGTACTTGTACATTTCCTGTGCTTTACAGGTGATGACATGTTGGGCCAAAGTATTTGAACCTCCCTCGTCTTTACTTGAGCAATGTCGAACAAGAATGTTATATGCAACTATTGAACAGATTTATTTTTCACAAGTTTTTTACTATAGTAACATTTTAATATTAATTTGTATGGCAGTGCAGCAGTTTTGTATTTTAATCCATTGTGATATCCCTAGTATTTTGAAGGACATAAAACACAGCTTAAAATTAAGGAATTCTTTAGTATTGGTCCAGTTCTCTATAGTATTGTTGTAATAAATATTTGGTATGTTGAGCTCATAATTAGTTTCAACCTTGATGTGCAAAATTTCACATGAATTGTGAGACATAAACAATGTTTAGCATTGTTTTTTTATGAAGATAAAACAACTTGTAGTGCAAATGATGTGTTATATTACCAAGTAAGTTCGTGTTTCATAAGTTAACTACATAACAAATGGTATATTGGGGAAACAGTGTTTTGTTCATTTAATATCATGAATGGTTGCCCTGCAACCTGCTTGTCAGTTATATATAGAAATACAGTATTGCATTTGATTTTCTTGTCAATGGTCACCTATCTAAATTGAGTGATGTGACTTCTGCGAGTGTCCTTATTGGTTTTCTGTGATGTCCATATTTTTTTTTGTGTGTGTGTAAGCACTGAGAAGCTACTTGGGCACCATCAGTATCAGTGATCCAACATTAGCTTTAACACAGTGTGTCTGTGTTTCTTCACACTTGTGATTATTCCTGAGGTTAGTTCAATTATAAACTATTGAATAGCTTCATAATTGTAGTTATCTAGTACATTGTAAAACATTTTGGGCTGGAAGTGGAGGTTTGTGATACACTTTATTGACTAATTGGTGAAGCACACATTGTGATTGTTAATAGAACATGCTTTTATTGCAGCTAGGAGTATATCCTCTCCTCGCACCAGCCTGCTGAATTTAGTCATGATGTAGTGAATACAGTCATGAGCTAAATTTGTATTTTTACACGAATAGATAATGATATTGTAGGAGTTAAAAATGAAACACTGAAGTGGTGGCCATCCTGCTCTTTATCCATCAACTATTAAAGATGTTGGTTGTAAATTGTTTATATGGTGTGTGTGTGTGTATATATATATATATGTTTTTTTTTTTTTTTCAACAAGTCGGTCGTCTCCCACCGAGGCAGGGTGACCCAAAAAAGAAAGAAAATCCCCAAAAAGAAAATACTTTCATCATCATTCAACACTTTCACCACACTCACACATTATCAGTGCTTTTGCAGAGGTGCTCAGAATACAACAGTTTAGAAGCATATACGTATAAAGATACACAACATATCCCTCCAAACTGCCAATATCCCAAACCCCTCCTTTAAAGTGCAAGCATTGTACTTCCCATTTCCAGGACTCAAGTCCGACTATATGAAAATAACCGTTTCCCTGAATCCCTTCACTAAATATTACCTGTTCACACTCCAACAGATCGTCAGGTCCCAAGTATCATTTGTCTCCATTCACTCCTATCTAACCGCTCAGCACGCTTGTGGAAGTCCAAGCCCT